AATGGCCTAAAATGTTGAAAATTGTTATAATTATATTTTTTTAATTCGCATTAACTTGAGAACGGCTGGACTTAGCAAAAAAGTTTTTATATGCAAAGTTATCGAAAATTATGCGTAGAATCTAAATAAATTATTATTTTTCAAAAAAATATGCATTTTCATCAACTTGTAAAAATCAACAAAAATTTAAAAAATTATAGAATTCTTTTTAAGGAAGTTACCAGCATACACTTTCCACGAAATTCAAGGATATTTCATCAATTTTCTTGAAAAAAAAAATTATGAAGATCGAAGGGGGGGTGTTTTGAGATAATCATCGTTTTACGTTTTTTAAATACTAGTTTACTAAGTTTTTCTTTCAGTGTATTTTTTTCCGCAAAGATAATTTAACTACCTAAAACTTTTTTTCATATGCCAATTTGATCAGATCAATAATTTTCAAGTTATGATTTTTTGAAAAAAAAATAATCCATTTTTTTATACGCCCTTTTCAAAAGTTACTCTGGAGGAAAAACTCATATTTAAATGAAAAATGCAACCATTAGTAGCAGCGAACACGTGAGCAATGTTTCATTCAAATCAGAAGGGGTCGAGACAAAATTGACATTTTTTTTAACGATTTGAGCTAGAAATGCTCTAATAGTTTGAGTTTGAATACATCCTAGGTCCTATTATATTATTATTAAATATTCATTGATAAATATTTATAACAGGGTCAAAACACAACTGGAAGAAGCAACGTAACATCATTTGATTTTCTCTAATGTATGTTTAACGTTTATATGACAGTGAAATTAACCATTTAATTTTTCCTTTCCAGGATAGAAAGTTACATAACTTATTGATATATTTATTTGTATATTTGTAAATACTTATTTAATCAAATTCTGAATATGAGTGATGAGGAAGTTTATTGTGTTCGCGAACCCTCCGTTTAGGCTGGACGCATTGATTTAAATCTTAAAGTTTATTTTCAGCTCTTCGACATTTTTAGATTAATATTATAATGATTCACTATTTTCAGCCTTCGTTCAGGAAAATACAAAAAACATTGGAATGCATGATTACAATTGCATAAAAACTGGAGACTGTCCAAATAACCTCGACTTTTCTGACTATTGATGCATTATGAAAGTTTACCAATATTTTAAAAAAGCATTTCATATTGCGTTAAGAAATTCCATGGTGCATAATAAAGTGTTTGTTTCAATTCCAATAAAATATCAGAAGTTGAAATCAGTTGAATGTATTGAGGTTAACTGAAATCGAGCTTATTTGTATTTTGTAATACTTGTTTATTTAACATTATTTTATATATTGCATGACTAGTAAATTAGTTTTATTTCACATTTTTAAAATCTCATTATATCACTATATAACTATCATTATATAACTATAATTTTCATTTCTAGAAAAAAGTTGTCCTGTAGATCCTGGAGGACCAGAAGGTGTATCAAATAGCTTATCATTGTTATTTACTTTTTATTTTATTATAATATAATATGAATTTGGCCGGTTGCTTTTGGTGTAGCTCCACTTGGTTATTTGGCTGAGATCATTCCTTTTTATTTATTTATACAGTAACCCCTCCATATCGTTTAAACATCAATTCAGCTTATCGTTTACCAAAACGAACCTTGCTGCAAACCCTACCCTCTTACCCAACATCCCAGTGACTCCTCGTGGAAGTGCAGAGGATTTCTCGGCTTCCATCAAAGCGAGTGTCACGTCAACACATTCCTACCCATTCCTTTCTTGACCTGCGTTCAGGCGCGGCTGGCGCTGGTATTGCCTAATTTGAGATCACCAGTTTTTACACATTGAGGATGATTGCTAGTCCCAAGCATCGTCTATTGGTTCTCTGTGTAATTACAGCTGATCTGGCAATAACAGAGTAGCAACCGTGGGCGGTCAATCATGCTCATGCTCATGCTCATGCTCTATAAATAATTGTATAATGTCCTGATTTACTATACAAATACGTGGAACATTGTAGAACCTCATCAGATCCTGTAAGTTATGATCCTGATGAAAAGAACATCAACATCTTAGCATCAAGATAATTTGGAGTACCTGAAGTGCTACGCAGCTCCATGGATTCGAACAATAAATGAAGACATCGTTTAAAACTTTGTGAGCCTGTGGAACATCCAGATCTAAACTTCAGGATAATTTGGTGAATTTGAAGTACTGTACCGTAACAATTAGAGACTGGACTTGATATCATGGAGCTCTACGAAGCTCTACTTGTTCATCCAATTATTCGAGGCATAGTACAATACCTTGTTGAGGCTGAGGATTATCAAGTCCGAAAAGCGCCAGCTCATGTACATCGGAATGGAACAAATCTGGGGGTTGAAAAAATTAATAAAAATCCCTCCCATATAAATGTAGGCCCTATTGGACGCCTCAAAAAGGTATTTCTGGATGTTTCCAAGCTTTTCCAAATTAAAACAACATTTGTAGAATGTTCCTAGAAATAATCCTGGGACTGAATCGGATTAGAGTATTGTGGTGATTGCATTATTGGAGTCGATACTATAATGTTCCCTATTTTGATGCTTTGCAACTATTTTGAACCGAACTATGATATCGGAAAAACAAAAATCAGCATTCAAGGGCCCCTACACACCAAAAATCAGAATCGATTTCCAGCAAAACGGATTGCTGAACTACTTCCAGCAAAAATACATTATACTGAATAACCAGCAATGCGGAAAATTTTGCTGGTTGTTCAGCTACCCGCATGATCTGTCAAAACCGAGATGTGTTTTATTTTCCCGCGTTTATTGTTTTCGTGGATCGAAGTGCACTTTATAACAAATTCTTCGTGCACATTACTAGCCGCATTTACCAGGTATAATGAAGTAACTTATTCAAATTTATCATTCATTCAATTGAGAAATATTATCCATTTGATTCCAGCGAACACTTTTCCCCAAATTTTCCTTAGTTTCTGCCTGCATTAGACAATTAAAAAGCAAGATCTCACTGACGAAAAAAGATAACGGCAATCAAATGTCTACTGTGCTTTTTTAAATAAATAATCATCATGCATAACACAGTTTACTTATTCTCAATTATCAATTATCAAACCTAATCAATTTAATCAAATCAATTTATTTTGCTGGCTATACAGCAAAATGGTTTTCACTTGAATTTGCTGAAAGAAGCAGTGAAATTTTACTGAATTTACAGTAAAGAGCTGTCATTTCTGCGACATTTTATTTTGCTGGTCGTTCGGCAATCATATTTTGCTGGATGAATTACTGTATTTACAGCTCGGCAAAATCCAGCAAAATTTTGCTGGTTTACGGCAATTAAAAATGGGTGTGTAGGCTGTACTTTTTTTTTTTTTTTTTCCTTTGGTTTGTTTTTTCCGTCGATCTTGTTTTCCGTGCTGAGCACCAATGCTACCGACGTGCCAGGAAGGCAGCTCCCACACCTGGACCCTACCTATCGACCCATCAACTCATGAACCGGGGACCAACGGCTTTACGTCCCATCCGAAGGAAGGCGTGATCAGAGATGTTATGCCTCAGAACATCCCAGCGGCGCCGACTAGGTTGAACCCAGGCATGCTGGGGTGAGAGGTAATCACGCTTACCACTACACCACCGGCGCCGTTAGGCTGTACTTTTGTACAGCGCCTTATGCTATGTTCAGACTACAGAGTTATAACATACTACAGAGTCAAACTGGTTTATACAAGGTGTGGAGATCTATCCCTGACGTATGTGTTGGTAGAGGGAAAAATGTAAACTTTGCGGCATAAGATAGTGGCGACGTCATAACACTTGAAAGAAAATTTGCGAAATAAAAAGTAAAACAAATCCTAGATATTTTTGAATGATGAATTTGCTTGATTAAATTATTTTGTAAAGTCGCCGGGAAATATCAGCTGGCGATTTGTTTTTTTTTATCATAACTCCTTACTTGAAAACAGGCAATACTCACAAACAGGCTGCTTTTCCATGGTATACAGTACGATAATTCAATAATCAATAAATTATCTCAACATTTAGTGGCAGACCATTCATAAATTTTGGTAACATACATAAATTCTATAACCCATATTAAATTTCCTATGCAAGCGCCGATCGAAACAAACATTATGACGTCACTACAAGGGTAATTGAGTGAACGAAAGAAACGAATCGTGCGAAGCGGAATGAAAACCGAGTGAAAAACGAAGTGCTCCAACACATTCAGACCTACAATTCCACACCTTGTATAGACCAGGTTGCTACAGAGTTACATTAAATATGAAATGGAAATATTTGGCTTTGAAAGCTTCAATGTGGCTGCGTGCGATCAAATTCCGAATCACTGGACTCGCCGTTGGAGAATGGTTTTGCTGTCGTGAATAAGTTGTTTTAGAAAAACGTCGAAATGAGTCATGAATTTGTTTTCGTACTATAATGTCGTTGTTGATTCCTGTTAACTATTAAGCTTTCATTGTAGTTTGTATAATATATCTGTGTTTTTTTCCAAACGCTGTAAGTAGTTATAAGATGTTCAATAGGACCGTTGAATATACATCAATAAACAAATAAATCAATATTGAAACTAATAAAGTATCTCCTTCAACTTTGTAATCGTTGAAAACACCCAGTCACCATTGACAACAAAATCATTGCATTCTATTTGAAAGCTTTCAATTACTTACAAGCGGAAGTGCTCAGAAAATCATAAGTTGAGAGTTGGCGGCCCTTCAGTAAGATCGTATTAATCAAGGAAATTGAATTCAAAGAGCTCATCGAATATACTAATGTGTTTACACAAAATACAACTACCGTTCCTATGATAACAACAATATGTTTCATCGACAGACAGACCGTTTCCACCTTCGCAGATCAATCCTCACTCGAAAAGTAATCCTTTTATTCGCTTTCCCGATAAGCCCATCACCAGCAGATATCACCAATCAACATAAACAAAAGTTCTACTCCCCTGCCCTCATCACCCTCTTACATCTCACTGAATCCATGGACACTTACCTTTCTTGATTTCGCCCCACGTTTTGACGATTTTTCTCTGATAACGGTTCCACACAAAAAAGAAGGCAACACAAGGCGGCAGCTCCTTGCTGTCACGGTACAACAACGGTAGAGATAGCAAAAGCACCTGAGCTCGAACAGCCGGCAGTACCCAGAACAGGTCGTAGAAACAGCAGAAGATGACAAACATCCATTGACTGCCAAACACTTCACCGCACCTTGAATTGTAAAACCGGCTCGAAATACCACCTCTATTCTTGTACACGGCAAAACACAGCCAGTCGACTTTAGATATCGGTATAGCTATCACAAAACACTCTTACTAGATCCACTTTTCACCCCAACTTCCACAACTTTTCACTCCTCTCTCCCCCAAACTGGCTATATCTGTTTTCCTCTCACTCGGCCGTTCTTTTTTTTTTTTTATGCTGCTAGGGCTTTTCTTGTTTGGTTTATTTTTCTCAAATTTCACTCCGACATGGGGTTTTGTGTGCTGCTATTGTTGGATCACAATGATGTGAATAGACTGGATCGTTCTTCAACAGTCCCAACAGCTAGAATAACGCTCGTCGCCTGTGCCAACGCAGCTGACGGAGCGATAATTGATTGATTCCGTTAGGATACGATTATTTTTCCAACCGCTTTTTCTATTTTTGTCTGGATCGGGTTTTTTTTATTGAAAAACTCTCGAAACAACCTTACAACAAACACTCACACTCCAGGCCGCTTGAGGACATGTGTTTTGAAACTCTACCCATCGACCTTTTTCACTGGCGCCGCGATTCACGTGACACACACCACACCGTCGGGACACGACGATCGAAACGAGCCCAAAATTATTCCACTGGGAGGAGCAGCAATTAATTTTCCTTTCAAAACGACTCCCACCACGGCATAACTATGATAAATCTCACCGCGAACACCATGCAACCTCCTTGGCAAATACGTACAGGCACAAACTGGTACCCAACGAACACGACTTACAGGGCCAGATTATCAACCGAAATGCGAAATTTATGTAATATGCAAAATATTTTATTGATATCGATACCCTTCCGGCTTGGAATACATCCTCTTGAACTGCGAGAGATGGGAGCCTAGGAGATCAACTTTCTTTTGGAGAGGCCTTTTTCACTTGCGTGGCTGTTGGCTGTGAAAGCACCACGAAAGCATGCTCCGGTAAGGTGATAAAACCGGATTTATGACTCCTTCTATTACCACCAGAAAGTAACACCACACACGCGGTATGCCGAAGCAGACGGGAATCAAAACACCACCCACAATTTTTCACGCCTCACTCGAAACCGTGGAAGAGAAACAAAGGTCGTACCTTAGCCACACACAGCAAACTGCAGTGACTCTACCAAACACCGACAAATGTGACCGAGAAGAGAGCTCGCCTAAAAACAGATCCTAACGGGTCCGAAAACGTCGAATAACTAACGATAACACTGCTGTACGGGTGGCCTTTTAATATCCTTCTCCAGCAGCTCCGATGGTTTTTTATCTTCTACCACCTATCATCCCCGGTAGGATGCTGCTCCCCTGCTGTTGGCTCGAGATCAAAAGCGCTCCAATGGCTCCAGAGATCTTCGTATCCTTGGAGGCTGCCCCGTGCTGGAGCACACTCTCTTCTCTGCACTCATTCACTCTCTCCCTCTCTTTTGCGAAGTGTCACATTTTCATTCTTCGGGATGGCTCTCGCACTGTAGGTACCTACTCCGTGTTTGATGGAGATTCTGCATGGCTCTAGATTGGGAACCGAATTGAAGGAATAGAAACGGTGGGTTAAATCTAGGGTGTTTTAATAAACATGGAATGATTTTTTTCTTTTTTCTTTGCACTGTCTTTACAGACGGCTATGACCAGTTTGGAATGTTTATGATCATCTTGCACCTTAAGTCAAACTGTGCATCAAACAATCGCTGATATATGACAATTTCGTTTAGATGTGACAATCTCGGCAATGAACTGCAATATAAGGGTGTCCCACATCAAATTGCATCACGGATAAAACGCTGTAGAAAATTACCTAGTTTACCTAGAGGAAGTAGACGCTGCTGTAGACACTCCTTGAGGTAGATCTCCCCGTTTTCAGTCCCGGTAGTCACGAACGGCACACTCCGTTTGCCACATGAGCAGATCGCTTGAAAAATAATGTATTTCTTGACAAACTTTGAACTTTCTGCTTCCTTACTTCCTCCGGAACATCAAACTTGTGCTGGGCGGTGAAGAACACCCTTTATAGAGAACCTCTATTTATAATTCATGTACATGGGTCCTTCAGACTCAAGTGAATACACCATCTGAGGTCGAAGTCATCCATTTCAACCAAACTATGCCAATATGCTCGAACTTAGTTAGTTAATTCCGAGCTAACATACCTTACCAATCAAGCACCAGTACCTGGGTGTTCTTTAATGTACACAGAAGTCGTCTCCATTCCACTTGATCCATGGTTTCACGTCGCCAGCCTCGCAGTCTGTGAAGGCTCCGTAGGTCATCTTACAGCTGATCAATCTACCTTGCCCGCTATACGCCTCTTCGTCTCGTTCCAGTCGGTTCCTTATCAAGAACCGGGTAGTCGTCTGACATACTTACGACGTGCCCAGCCCATCGGATTACTATTTTTGTGGTGTGGGCGATGGGTGGTTCTCCCAGCAGCTTCGCGGTTCATTCGCCTCCTATACGATCCGTCTTCCATCTGCACTACACCGTAGAAGATGGTAGAAGGTAACACTTTCCATTCAAAAATATCGTAGATAGTAACACCTTTCGTTCAAAAATACCATGTGCGTATTGGTCCTCCACGAGCATGTCGGTTAGCTTTAGAGATAATATCGTAGTCATGTAAACAAAAGGTGAGTACTGTGTGATTACCGTCAAACAGCGTGACTTGCAACAGTGGGGTGACTTGTATCATTTGTTGATATGCAGGTTTTGTTCGTTTATAGTTAAAATAAACATAAACATCAGCACCTGTCATCACGTATGAATTGTTTACACTCTTTTTGCTGTGTATGGTTATTGACCGAGTGAAAGAGATATTTTTTTGTTGTTTTGTTGGCATATTCTTACTTACCATACCAATCAGGCTAAGGCTTTGTTGTCCTCTGCGGTCCGAAGAAGTCGTTTCCACTCTACTCGATCTTCGCCAGCCTCGTAGTCTGCGAAGGGTCCGCAGGTCACCTTCTACTTAGTCGATCCACCTTGCCCGCTGCGCGCCTCTTCTTCTTGTTCCTGTTGGGTCGCTTTCTAGAACCATTTTCACTGGGTCGTCGTGCGGCATTCTAACGACGTGCCCAGCCCACCGTAATCGCCCAATTTTTGCAATGTGGACGATGGAGGGTTCTCACAGCAGCTGGTGCAATTCGTGGTTCATTCGCCTCCTCCACGTTCCGTCAGCCATCTGTACTCCATCGTAGATGGTACGCAGCACCTTCCGTTTGAAAACACCAAGGGCGCGTTGATCCTCCACGAGCATAGTCCAGGTCTTGTGGCCGTAGAGGACCACTGGTCTAATCAGCTTCTTGTAGACATTCAACTTCGTGCGGCGGCGAATTTTAAGCTCAGATTTAGACATCGGAAACCGTAGGTTCCTGTAAGAAAATACGACTAAATCTACCAAAATCGGGCACCTCCCAGGTTTTAGTGTCCAATCATGAATACAATTCTGCAAAAAAAAATATACATAATACATTTTATTGCTCTGGTTAAATCATCTTATCTGCTACGGGGTGATATGCAATCATCTATATATTTAAAACTGTTTCCTGTTACAGGGCTTCTTTAAATCAGAAATCATGCCAAGGACCTACAAGAAGTCAGTCGAAAGTCGGAAGTATGCTCATTTTTCAAAGGAAACTGGGGGCGACCCCGGCGTAGTGGTTAACATCCTTACCTCTCACGCCAAAGTCACGAGTTCAAATCTCACCCCGGACAAGTCACGAATGACCCAAGAGTGTTAAAGTGACTATAATAAAAAAAAAAAAAAATCAAAGGAAACTTTGGCAAAAGCAGCGCTAGAAGTTAAAAGGAATAGATTGTCTATCCGGAAAGCGGTCCAGCAGTACTTCTTATGCCCATGAACGATTTCAGTACTCGTAATTCCAAAGCGCTTGATTGATTGTATCAACAAACTATTACCAACCGGTGGAAAAAACGATTTTAAATTGGCTCACTACTTGACTAGCCTATTGGTCTCAAGTACATCTATAAGCGTACCCCATACTAGTCGAAATTCTAGTACTACAATATGTTTTTTTTTCCCTTGGTTTGTTTTCCGTCGATCTTGTTTTCCGTGCTGAGCACCAATGCTACCGACGCCAGGGAGGCAGCTCCCACACCTGGACCCTACCTATCGACCCATCAACTCATGAACCGGGGACCAACGGTTTTACTTCCCTTCCGAAGGAAGGCGTGATCAGAGAGATCAGGCGGCGCCGACTGGGATTGAACCCAGGCCTACTGGGGTGTGTACATTATGTTTGTTTTGATTCGCTATGAAACTTTGACAGATATAATGAGGGGTTCGTGGATTTTCCTATTAGCTTGGGACCGAAGCTAGTACCAGAGCTGAGCCAAAAAGTTGAGCACGTTTCTTCGGGACCTTCTGGTCTTAGAGTTACCTCTATGCTATTACTAGTTGGCCTTCACAAAAAGTTCCCAAATTTACTCTAATGTGTGCAACATGTTGATGGGACGAAATTATTCGACTTTATTCGTTCCAGCAACTTTTTGAATAGGAATCACCAAGGATTTCTTCCAAATTTGTGGCACATGCCCAGTCTGCAATGATTTATTTATAAAATCCAGCAAGATGTAAAACGGATTTTAAAGAACTTAATCCCAAATTCGTGAGCTAAGTTCACGCCTGTTCAGCGTGACCGCAAATTCATAGCGCTATTGAGCAGTTCCACGCCAAATGACGCATCAGAGAAACTCCACCCTCTCCGATTTGCTTGAAACTTTGCATAAGTGTTTGTTATGGGCAATTATTAACATTTTTTGCAATAAATCGATCATTTTTTGATTTTGTAAAGTTTTCAAAATAACGCCATTGAAATTTTTCAAAAAAAAAATGTAGAGCGCAAACGGCACTTCTGATCGAAATGACGTCTGAAGCAAGCTTGTAGAGAAAAAATATGTTTTTTCTGAGAAAAATATGCAAATGTAAATTCAAATAAAAATGAAAAATATGCATATGTAAATTCAAGTAAAAACTAAAAAAAATTAAAAAAAACCAAATATAGCCTTGTAAGATTTAAAAAAAAATTAAAACAAACAAATAAACCATGCATTTTTTTTTAATATTTTAAATTATGGACACTTAAAAATTGACAGACAATTGAGAAACGAGAACTTTTGGTCAAATTGATGGACATTTCGTTAAATCTTTTATTTTATGTAGTTTATGTTTAGCAAACAATATTTGAGACATTGTCTTCCATTTTTTGTGAAAATATACGAACAAAATTAATTGTAAATTTTTCCCAGATAGTCATTATTTTGTCCTACAACTTTGCCCAGGCTTCATTTCGATCAGAAATGCCGTTTCCATGCAACAATTTTTTGAAAAATTTCTAGGACGCAATTTTGAAAGTTTTACAATATTCAAAATGGATGAATTTTAGCAAAAATGTAAATCATTGTCCATAACAATCAATTACGCAAAGTTTAAAAAGACCGGAGAAGGTCGATTCAAAATTTGTTTTCGCTATTTGGTCTGGAACTGCTCTATAAACGAGTTCACGGATAGATTTGAGTTCCTTTACTCGAGAAAAAGTTACACAAGCTGCGGTCAATGTTTATTAATCATTTGATTAATAATGGACACTAAATATGCATTATTCATTAATCAACTTTTTCTTGAGTGAAAAAGCAAAATCTCGACAATACACGCCGATATTCAAAATTCTGCGTTGGTCACTCATTTGAGCTAATATTCATCGTCAAGGAAAACCATGTCAATTGTCAATGCTTTCAGTGACGAACATGTGCAGAGTTTTTTTTTTATCAGCAAAATTGGTAACGAAATTAAATGACTTGAGCGAAACAATTACATGGAGCCATTCAAGTGAACAAATATCTACGTCCTGAACTGCTTGAATTTCAATAATGTGACACAGAATGCACGAAATGACACTTTTTTGTTACCAGGTGAATCTATGTCATTGAGGAAAAAATGAATAAGATTTTGTCCACGGTTTTTTGAGGATCAAGTTTATCAGTGACTACGTGATAAACAATTTTGTCAATATCGCGCGAAAGTCTGTCAATGACAATGACAAATCTCAGCACTGATTAGAAGATTGCCGTAAAAGCTCTGTGCAGATGTCACCACTGCATGATGATGATAATGTTGACAGGCTGCATACGAAATTCATAAAAATGAGCATTAAAACATTATGTT